GAGGGAGGGAGGGAGGGAGGGAGAGAGAGAGAGAGGGACTTGTTCCTTCTGCCCCCAGTACTGTGATTTAAGCTCTAATACTGGATCAGACAGGAAGCTCATCTAGCTGAAGATGCTGTTTTCTGCAGTATTCACTACCAGCACCTGATAGCACATACAATGTATTACTGAACTTCTGGTGGAAATTTTTGTCATGGAAAAGGAGAGTGAAGGGGTGCATGTAGCACTAAAAACATAGCATATGTCTATGTCTACCTGATGTGGGCTGTAAGAATACAAAAATACACTATTTCCTGCCACCTAGCAGTTGTCTGAATTATTGTGCCCAGTTCTAGTAATCCTAATTATGTCTAAATAATACCAGTTGGTTCATCTTTTTAAAAACTAATAATTGTAGTAATAATATTAATATTTCTAATATAGTATCTATTCAGAAATATTAATATTTCTAATATAGTATCTATTCAGAGTATTCAGAGTATTTAATTTTTTATTTTGATATTGATAAAATGGTAATTATATTAGCAAGAGTACTAATAGGGACAAATTATAGAAAACAGAAATATCAGTATTGTTTTGGGGGTAATTCAAATAATAATTATATCTACCCATTCAACCATAAAATTAATTATAAAGGCATAAAATGGTTAGCTTTAAACATGTTCTGTTGTAAAAAGAGTTTGTGAATTCTATCAGTGCTTGTTCAATTTTGTTACTCAGTTGTTCAAGCTATTTTATAATGCATAAGCTATTTTATATAAATAAATTATAATTAAACATATATTTAAAATGTTTTAATATATTATTAAAACCAAATTCTATGAGATTCTTAATATGCAGCAAAACCGGTTTCATTATAAATGTTTCATCCTTGACTTACAACCACAGTAGAGCCCACATATTTCTGTCACTAAGCAAGGGAGCTGGTTGAGTTTTGCCCCATTTTATGACCCTTTTTGAAAGTTAAGCAAAACATTATAGTTTTAAGTGAATCATGTAGTCATTAAGCAAATCTGTCTTCCCCTATTGACTTTGCTTGTCAGAAGCTGGTAGGGAAGGTTACAAATGGTGATCAGATGACCTTGGGACAGCGCAACTGTCATAAACACCTGCCAGTTGCCAAGTGCTCACATTTTGATCATGTGATCATGGAGATGCTGCAACGGATGTTAGTGTGCAAATCAGTCATAAGTCACTTTTTTCAGTGACGTTGTTACTTCGAACGGTCAGTGAACGAATGATTGTAAGTTGAGAACTACCTGTATATTAGTTAAATAGTTTATTGCAAATAGTATAACCCATATCAAAACTGCAACAAGCCAGGCAAGTTATGAATTCTCCTTTATCCCTTTGCTGACATTTTGAGTTGTCCAGATTTTTGCATCTGAGGTCTGGCAGCCTTCATATGCATGGCTAGGTAAAAGTAATAGTTTATGACTACAGTCCCTAGAGATAACAACATTTTTTAAATAATAAACTTGAATAGAGAAGTTAGTTTTGAAAATCCAAAACTATTATAAACCTCAATTGTAAATAGGACAGGTAATATTTTTATGTTGGTTAATTATTAAAAGTGCAGCAATAGTATACCAAAAATAATAGCAAACCAAACAATTACAACTCAGGCAAGATAAACATATTCACTTCAAGCATTAGCAAAATACTTCAACACTGAAAGAATTACCTTGATCCCCTTGTAAGCAGCAAATAAAGCCAAGTAAGAAACTTAGTATAGTTCAGAAAAACAGAATGAGACCATTAGAGTAATTCATGCACAAGCTGCTTTTGAACTGACTGTTCATTCCTTGTAATACACAGCCATGCTATTGAAGCATGCCAGCAAAAGGTAAAACAAAAATTAAAAGAATGCACCAATCCATAAACTCAGAAAGGTCATACCCTGACATCTTGGGGGCAAAGTCTGCACTAAGGATCCATTAGGGCAGGGAGAAGGAAAAAGAAAAAGAAAAAAAAGGAGAAGGAGAAGAAAGGAAGCTTCATCAATGCTTCCCATATACTTCTAGTATATTGCATAAATAATACAGTTTATAGAAATGATTTAAAATATATCAAAATTCGCTTTCTCTTCTAAAATAATTTCACATATTAGATAGAGGGAAACGTACACAGGCACTAGGTAAGATAATGAAGCAAGTCATAACTCATGGAGAATATATGAAACAAGCATTTTCAAACATACATTTGCCACAACTGTTTTTGAGACATTCGGGAGAATGCTTAAGACTTTATGGCTGGATGTTAAATAAGGAATGGATGAAATGATCTTTAAGGAATTTAAATTCAATGCAACGGAACAAAACAGGAATATTTTTCCAGTGTATTGTTTCAGGTGAAGGTGTTTTTTTTTTAAGTGAATAGTCGAAGGAAGCACCTCTCCCGTTATATGATCTCTACTGTCCAGTGCCTTACATTATTTTAAGAAATCAGTTTGATAAAACAAAGGAAATGGTGACTTATGCTTAGTCCTAAAACCACCAATTCCTCATAAAATGCCATACATTTGAGCAAGAGCGCTTATTCAATAAGCCTCATTGTTCCTGAAGGCTATGTTTATATTATGGTTTCATTTTAATTCCAAATGAATAAAAAATTATTACAAGCACTTTGGACTTACAAAAGAAAATTCTCAGGATTATTTTTCCTTTGACCAGAAAATTGTCCTGTGTGAAAGTGATTGAAGTCTTATACAAGTTACTCAGACTTATTTCTGAATAAATGTGTATAGGACACTGCTGTAACATGTTAATAGCATCAAGAAAGTCAATTTTTAACTGTCATGTTGTAGTGCCTTCCCCAATCCAGTGCCATTCAGATGGGTCAGACTATGTCTTTCATCACAAGGAGGTTATCCAGAATCTTTGTCTTCAACAGTAATTTTCTTCCTCCATTTGACACCAGGTTCACTAACATAGTACAAAATGAGAACTCTAAGCTATGGTTCTGATATATTTTTCTGTCTTTATTCTTTTTTATTTCCCATCTTTTATCATTTTCCCACATATGCTTATTTTCTGTGTGCAGTTAAATTTCGTATGTTCCAGTGGCTTTATAATTCTTGTCTTCATGCAAATGTTATCCTACCCACTTCTCATCTCAAGTATGGGAAAGGAAAGTGATTTACAAGAAATATATAAATATTGGTTTGTTT